TACCTGCTTTCCGATCGTGGAATTCAGTACACCATATATAAACTACTCTAACGTTTTATGTTGAAAATACAGTATAAATTCAAAATTCACCGATTGTCTTTATCTTGGTTATCAACAGCTGTTTTATATTGCATATTTAATAACACTAAACCTGAGGCCGAGGTGGGTGTGAACTCTCAACAAGTGGCCGTTCCCAAACTTTCCACCTATACTTTGTAGAAGAAATTACACCACCACTGCCACAAGCTAAAGTGTAGCACCACGAACTAAACTAAATGTGACAAATACAGATGGATTAAAAAATGTTCCTTAATCCTAACTCTCATTTGAGTGTTTTTTCATTTAAGGAACTGACACTAAACATGCGAGGCCGAGGTAGGTGTGAACTCATAATATAAGCAAGAAGCCGTCAGCACTGTACAAACATGGAGAAAATATTTTATTTTCTCCATGGTACAAAGGACTAGAATGGCGAAGTACTAATATATTAATGTTTGCAGTACACCACGTAGCTAGTTCTGAAAAGAACTGTTGTTTGTTGAGGTCTCGACCTTTCGATTGAGCTGCTTCAATCGTCTTCAGGTAAAATATCTTTTTTTTTTATAAATAATCGTCCATCCTGTAATTGGCGAGTTACTAGCTGTCGGATGCGAATGAAATAAAATAAACAAAATAATCATATTTCTATTTATTCATGATTAAAGTATTGTTGACCCACAATCGTAAATAATTTGAGTAAGGTCAAAATGAGTTCTATCTAAATGTCAAATGCCAACATGTGTTTAAAATCACAAAATTAAGGAAATAAATATATTATTTATTAGGTAATATTAAGAAAATACTAGGGATTCATATCATGTCACTTATATACTCCGTTATCATTTGTTTTCTCTGATATATCAGTCTTGCTTGAAATAGGTACGAACAGATGGGAACATTATCAAATTACATGGATGAAAAAGTTTTTACTCTGTGTGGATCCATACGCTATTGTATCGATATTGATTGCAACGTCAGAAACAGGAAATTAAAAAAAACATGTTTATAACAGTACATTTTGCATAAGGTAGAGTAATCGAGCGGAAAAAAGCATGCCAATGTAAAATACAATCTTACCATTGGCTCAACCCAAACATGAAAGTAGTTCCAGTTCAGTAGTAGAGTTTCTGATGATAATAATGAGGAACACTGTGCCTGCCAAACTGCTACATTATCTTTTTACAGACGGACAGCGAAAGAAAACAGGACAGTTCCACTACGTACACCAACATGTTTCCATTTTTACCTAGTCAAAGAGTAGCGTCTCCAAGAGGTAATATTACGAATTGCTTTTGTAAATAATATACAGATTTATAAGATGAAAATGTAGCTAAACATATTTTGAATGTTAAAAATCATCGGAATATTGTAATTAATTTCATGGTCAATTATTGATAATAGACATACTAAGTATGTATTACTTAATCTACTGCGTGGCGAATATTCGCGAATTTGGCAAATGTTAATAATAATAATAATAATAATAATAATAATAATAATAATAATAATAATAATAATAATAATAATAATAATAATAATAATAATAATAATAATAATAATAATAATAACAACTCTGGATTTATATAGCGCTTCACGTTGACACAACCTCGAGGCGCTTAACAACAACAGAGAAGAAAAACCAAAACAAATAATGCAAATGTACCAAAACAATTATTATCAAATCTTTGGTTTAGTTCAAATGATTGGTTTGATGATTATCAATAAATGTTATTATTACAATGCTTTGGTAATTGGAATTTTTTATTATATAATAATGTTTAAATGAGACAATATATGCCTATATTTATCTGATTAACTGAAAACTGAAAGACTTCACAGAACTACTTAACATCAATGCAGTATACGATGTGTAGGGAATAATCTTGAATGTGTCTTCACTCCTCCATTTTAAAACTTCTTATAATTAATACCAGTTTAAGCATCTCATTACATTTAGACCTGTATCCATGGCTTCAGAATGAAACGCTTTATTTTTCAGATCATTAAAGTACTATGAATGGTATTATAATAATAGGCATATGTAATTTTTACTCTAGATTATTAAAGAAGTGTGTCAGCGGTAAATTTTAAAGGTAGGAGTACTTGCTCGCTTCGCTGGCATTCTCGTTTCCCGTAAAGGCGTTCCCTCTATTGAGAGGCTGTGACAGTCACGAGTGGTCTTAGAATATTTTAGTTTTTGTAATAATTATGCTCAGTGGCTTACGAGTGGCCCGTGCAGCCAGGGGCCCATTAAATAGGCCTAGGCCTAATACTAGACCTGAGAAAATAATTATTTCCAACTTAATCTCTTAAAAGAAAATAAAACGGCCAGCTAGACCCACAACAATATTTAGGTTAAGAGGTGAAATTGTTGGTTATTGTCTTCATTTCAATTGTTTGTTTTTACGTGCTACCAATTGTCTTGCTTATTTTGTAACCAGCTCCAAGGTTCATGACATTCCTCATGAAGTATATTTAACGTTCTGTTCCTAATGACCTGCGAGCTAACATTTTTTCCCCTGCTAACGCTCACTCAATCATTGTGATTAGGTATATGAACAAATATATTATTATAATAAATAAAATGTTTATTATAATAATATATTATTATAATAAACATTTTAGTTAAAACAGTGAGCCTGCCCAAATAATATATGACGAGCTTATGTGCCCTACATCAGTAGCTAAAAAGAGGTCATAATGAACTCTTATCTTTAATGAACGACACTGCAAATGAACAAAAGAAAGGAAATAATTTGCAAATTAAATGTAGTTAGGTCTATATTTAGCTTTTCTTAGAAGCCATTGTTTTTTTTTTCTTATTTGTTTTTCTTCTTCCATTATAGTTTTCCTATCTTTTTGCACAGGGCTTTTCTGGCCGGCACTTTGGTCACTTTCCATGCTTAAATCTTTCCCAAACTTTGTCTCAGCGTATACAACATACCAAAAGACATGGCTTTTAAAATCTAGTGACAATTCTGAATGGGGTGTGGATATGGGGTCCATTTCAAGGGACATATAGGCAAACACTCACAAAGGGAAACACTCCACACTACATTTCAATACAGAACAACTATTCTGAATGAAACTTTCGAGAAACTTTTACCAAGCTATATAGGCCTATAAGAAATTTTGGGTGGTCAGATTCTTGTGTGAATTTATTTATATATTTACTTTTTTTTGCTTTTTCAATATCAATAAGCTTCTGTTCTAATTTTACTTGTTAAGTGTTACTTCTTGCTTGTATAGCGCTTTTACTTACGGAGCTCTGTACGTTTTTCCCTGGCCATTAGGTATACATGCCTAGTGTTGCTGCAATATTGGCGCAGTAGCAGGCAACCCTACCAGGTACCCGTTTGTACTCCTGGGTGGGGAGAAGGAACAAAGATAAGGTGCATTGCTCAAGGACACAAGCGAAATGCGCAGCATGGTATTGAAACGAAGTTGGGAAACAAAACCGTTCCCGCCGCTCCAAACTGCTTCTTGGTGTGATAATTTTCTTTCTCTACAGTGTGATCTATTTTTGTATTTTCTGGTTTTTTGTCTCTTGCCTCATTTTTGTGCACAATTTTGCCTTTTTATTCATACTGCATTGTGCTTCAATGAATATATTCCCTAGGCATTTATTTTAAACCTCATGATTTGATATAATAAAATTGACTTAAATTGAATTGAAATACATCTGTGCCGGTAAGCCGTTTTCAAAGGTTTTAATGGGTATTATGTAGGCATACATCATTTGGTTATTTTCCGTATTGGACTTATTTTTCACTCACCCTTCGTCTGCATAAGTGGCAAATTCGTTGCGTACTGATGAATAATGAAATATTAATACGCGAGTACCAACGATATTAATTGCAACATAGAAACTGGAAATTCACAAACCGTGAAAACAATCACAATGCAGTATACGGCTGTCCAAGCTGACGGCATTAACATCAGTCACTAAACATATTATTTACCCCCTATCTATTACATTGTGCTACATTATCCAATTCTGTTGAAAAGGGCATAGTTTATGACTTAGCTAAGATAGCCAGGGTTGTCCCAATACATATGTACTCCAAGCAATGTTGTAAGCTGGTGAATAACTTTAATCTCGAATTCAGGTCCTTGATCTGAGTGAAGACCTGTCTCTTATACACATCTGGTGAACATAATATGAATCTATTCATATCTAAAATCGTTTCAAAATCATAAAATCATAAATTAAAAACAATGCTATAGTAATAGTAATCAAGTGAATATCTTACTTAAATATATTGAAACACACTAATGTTCCGTCACTTCAATATACTTTACTTAGCCTAAATATTCCTTGGAATATTCGTATAATTAAATGTTTGCTTTCTTATATCTATAAACATTTGAAGTTAAATAAGTCCTATCACAGCGTACGGTACTACTGCATTATTAGCTACCGTGACGTCACAAATCCATTCAGCCGGCCCGGCGAATGCGACACTATAATTAGCCTATGTTCATTATAACTGTGCTTTGCCTAAAACGTCCTTCAACATTCCTTCGCTTGGCCTTTAGCCTAAACAAATCGCTACTAAATGCATAACTAAAACACAGTATAGTATTATACATCTATACTAATCCGTTTTGTCTAATAATAACCTAAAAATACTTTTAATTAAACTAAATGTTAAACAATAATTAAAATACAAATCTTACCTAAAAAGAGCCAGTCGTAGAGTTCGGATTAAATATAAAATTCGAATTAATAAACGATGGAAATTGAATAGAGTTCTTATCGATGCGCTGGAGATGTAACAAGTAAGTAAGGAATGTGGGTATAGGTCCACGGGACCTTGGTGGTGGTCACTCTTAATGAGAAAAACAGTTAAATTACTACTTTAATGGAAGAGGGCTCTGTGTATACTGGTTCCCGTATTCATTGGGGTTACACCCTCCCCTCTCTAATTATGCATTGTCCCCAATGCGGCAATTGCATTCCCAATGTTAGTAACAAAAACGTAAAAGGATGGGTTGCCTAGGTTGTCATACTGTAACCTGGCTGGTGGTCTGCGCTGTCTATTTGGACTGGTGGATGTCGTCTCCCCTCTCAAATCGTCATCTTCAGGGTCTTCATCGATTTGACTATCACTGGTCAGAGCTTCAGTGATCGGAGGTTCATCAGTCAACGTTGAATCACTCGTTGAAGGTTTATCAGTGGTGGATAACATGAGTAAGTCATCAATAGAAGTTGGTTCTGGTTGAATGGTGATCGGTTGCAAAGTTTCTAATGTTTTATCGGGTTAGAATGTTATCTTCGGAAATTGGAGCATTGCAGTTTGTATCGGCAATACCATCTACTTACCTCATCGGCTGTTGGTTCATCGTGTGCGTTATCGGCACATGATGAAGTTACAGGAGCTTCTTCTATGGCATCCACTGAGGTTTCTGGGGTGACATGTTCTAAATTACCTGGGACAACACCGTCATCATCAACACCATTTCCATCGGCGACACCATCTTTATTACTACACATTCCATCTCCAATACTAAATACAATATCTGTATATCGCATTGGCCCATGCGTGCTCTCTACACATGAGACGGATCCGGGTGTAATATCTCCTGGATTGTCAACACAGCTGTCTGTATTCGTCCCATGTGTTGATGTATCAGCAATACATTGGGCTAGAGGCGTGCTGCTCACAACTTCAATATTTTTAATCTCCTCAGGAGGTTCTCCCTGGTCTGTCAACAGCCGGATAAGTGATCGAGGAGTGAATGGAGGAGAATCAACATTTAGGTGTGACTTAGACATTATGCCAGAAGGGGTAGTCGGTTGAACGGGTGAGGCTGGTAAGGCTTGGTCACTATAGTCAGGTATTGTCGGTGTACTTGGAGTAGGATCAGAGAAATCAGGTTGGATTGGATCATAAGATGTTGTAAAAATATCGTGTTGTTCACCGATAGCAGAGTTGTCTACCGGGGCCTGGCATACGATTGCATCAGAGGTGTCACTCTCTTGGTCACATACAGGTTCATGATGCCTAGTCACCACAGGTACCTGTACAACTAAATCGTCATCGCTATCACTCTTACTATCACTTTCTTCACTATAAGAGGAAGAAATGTTACATGGTGGTTTGGGATGAGATCTGGTTCTCCTAACAACATTTTTAGGTTTCGTAGACGGAGTTAGCTTAACCCCAGTTAAGTATCCAATTGGCAGTAGGTGATCTCTGTGTAGTATCTTTACAATATTATCACCTTTTTCTTGTGACAGTCTGTACACTGGTAGATTAGGTAATTTTTCGATTACTACATACGGTTGTGAGTTCCATCTGTCTGCTAACTTGTTTTTTCCTTTTAATCCTAAATTTCTGATCATCACCCTGTCTCCAGCTTCCAATTCAGATGATGTTATGCGAATTTTGTTGTCGTAACGATGTTTGTTGGCAGCAGCATGCTTCTGGGCTTCCACTCTCGCCACTTCGTATGCTTTCTGTAAGCCTTGGCGAAGTCCCTTTACATACTGGACATGGTTGGTATTAGACTGACCATCAGGGTAATACCGAAAAAAACATCGATGGGTAGCCTTGCCTCTCTGCCAAACATCAGATAGTACGGCGAAAATCCCGTGCTGTCGTTCTTGGTGCAGTTATAGGCATGCACTAGAGCTCCTATGTGTTTGCTCCAGTTGACTTTCTTCTCTGTCTCCAAGGTTTCCAGCATGTTTAGCAGTGTTCTATTGAAACGTTCTGGTTTGGGATCACCTTGTGGATGGTACGGTGTAGTGTGGGATTTCTGTACTCCAAGCAATGTTGTAAGCTGGTGAATAACTTTAATCTCGAATTCAGGTCCTTGATCTGAGTGAAGACGTTTTGAAAGTCCATAGTGTTTAAAATACTGCTCCCAGAGTACCTTAGCAACTGTTCCAGCAGTCTGGTCTCATGTGGGGAACGCTTGTGCGTAGCGAGTGAAGTGATCTGTAATAACAAAGATAGATTTCTTACTATTGGAGTCAGGCTCTAATGATAGGAAATCCATGCACACGAGTTCCAATGGTCCATTGGTCTTGATGTTGTGGAGAGGAGCTGACTTCTGAGGAAGGGCTTTCCTTGTTAAACACCTAACACAGTGTCTGACCCAAGCTTCCATGTCGGCTGCCATCTTCGGCCAATAGAAACGTTCTCTTGCTAATGCTATCGTTCGCTCGACCCCAAGATGTCCTAAGTCGTTGTGTAGCATTTCAATGTTACACACCAAATATTTACTCTGGAAGTTTATTCAATCGTCATTCTAGAAATCTAAAAAGAGAATATATGCATGTATAACACGTAGCATAAAATAATACATTAACAATATTGTATTCCAATTCATGATACAATCAAAATTAACGGGTGAAGATAATATGAATCTATTCATATCTAAAATCGTTTCAAAATCATAAAATCCTAACACAAATTAATAATTAAGTGATTATCTTACTTAAACATATTGAAACACGCTAATGTTCCGTCACTTCAATATACTTTACTTAGCCTAAATATTCCTTGGAATATTCATATAATTAAATGTTTGCTTTCTTATATCTATAAACATTT